AACATTGCATCTTATGTACATGAGGCATTTCTCCTCTCTCTCTAGAGGAACCACCATTCTCATATGATGACCCAAATAGGATACAAAAATTCTCACACACATAAATATAAGTTTAGATTTCCATACTAAATTGGAAACTTCCTATAGATCTTACATATATATCGAAAGACCAAGCGATATATATAAGGAAATATCTCAATTCTACGTAATATAGGATTTCCTTATGTGGATGGTTTTGGATAGCACCAAATCCAACAAGGGCTTGCACTTCAAACTTGTAACAACTTCTGCTACGAGAGGAGAGAAAATCAAGGGAAACCTGGCTGAAGGATGTGGATGCTAACACTATGTTTCTTCATCCATCCACAATTATAGGGCAGAGAAATGATAGGATCACATACCTAAAAGATTCCTTGGTTAGCCAAATAACTGTTGCTAATATCCTAGAGATGCATATCATTTCCATTTTTGAGAAGCTCTTAGCACCATAAGACTATGACTTGAGAGATTTTGGTCAATTTGGCACATGACAATCTCATGGAGACCAATGTAACAAATCTACAAAAGGAAGAACTCTGGAAAGATGTCATGCTCGAGGAAATAAAAAATGCATTTGGGAAGTGAAAAGCAACCTTCCGGTCCTTGGCATGGAATTTTACAAGTTCAACTAGGATGTCATTTAGAAAGGATGTTTTCTTTGTGTTGAATGATTGTCTCAAGAGGGTAAAATTCTTAAAAAAGATTAATTCTACTTTCATATATTTGATACTAAAAACAAAATCTCCAAGCCACATGAAGGATTTCAGTCGCAATGGACCATGTTGCATTTGTTGCAAACAGGTTCTATAGGATAATAAGCAAATTTGTTGCAAACAGGCTGAGAAGGGTCTTAACTGACTTAATCCACCGGTGCCAATTTGCTTTCTTTAAAGGAAGACTCATCACGGACAACCTACTCATGGCTAAAGGACTCATATCTATGTGCTATAATACAATGACGAGACGAAAAATGTGCTTACAACTTGACTTAATTAGTGCTTACAAATGGGTCTCTTAGGATATTAAAAGGCTTGTTGCATTGTGATTCCCTTCAATTTACATAAATTGGTTTCACATTATATCACTACCCCTTGCTTCTCTATCTTATACAATGGCATACCTAAAGGTTATTTCAAGGTTAAGAGGGGTCCTTGACACGGTGACCTTCTATCCATGTATCTCTTCCTGTTGGTGATGGATTTTTTAGGCTTCCAAATTGATATGGCGGTATTCAATAACTCCTCCCTAAGGCAATCCCCTTAGGATGTGATTATGTACTTACTCACCTGATATATACCCGATGATGTGCTAATCTTATGCGAGGCCCCTATCTAAGTAGTGAAGACTATTAATGAACTCATGGGCACTTTCTACAATGTTAAGGCAATATTCACAAACTCAGCCAGCCCAACTCGAAATCGGTCGGTCAAATTGGAACCGGGCACTGGCCGATTCGGTTTTAGGGCTCTAGTTGGGTATTTTTAAAAGAACTCTAATACATAT